AAATGAAAGTTCAAGGATAATTTTGGTACTTTTTAAAGTTGAGGGACAATTTTGGTACCAAAGTGATAAGTTGAGGGACTAAAATGGTACTTAAACCTAAATTATATAAAATGAGGTAGGTTTCTTATTTTTGAAATATTTTTATTTATTTTAAAATTTAAATATAAAATTTTTAATACAAAAGTTTAAATTTTTGACAACTAAATCGGCTTTTATACAACTCTTTTCCCTTAAAAAATAATCATCAGTTAAGGGAATTTAATTTCTCCCTTGAGGATGATTTAATTATTTTAATTTAATTTTTATGTAAAACTTGCTTAGATAATTATATATGGTGTATAAATGACAATTAATTTTTTTTGTTTATACATAATTCTTGTTAAGTATTTTCTTTTAAATTAAAAAATTTTGTAATTGGCATTTATTTTCTACGTTACTCTTCATTTATTTTTAATAAGCCTAGTTTTTTTCCCTAATAAAATAAAAATTAATAATTTATCAATAAAATTTCTTAATTATTTCTAATTAAATACTATTTAAATAAGAGTTCTTATTTAGTAATGCATTTTGTAATTATATTTTAAAATGAAGATAAAATAATAATAAAAGTATTAAATGATATCTTAAAAAAACGAGATAATTAAATTTAAACATCTCAAATAAAATATCATGTTTACTAAAAATGAAAGAAGTATATGTTTGTTATATAAAAGTTTCAAGTTAATTTATATAGAGTAAAGGAATTAATACAAGTAACCAGGATTGATAGGAGTAAATTATCAATGGAAAGGATTATTGATTATCTCTAATCTTATCCAAAATCTTGATTGCTCGAGTCGCACGAGATTTTTAGTTGGACTACATCTCTTTCTTGGTCTAAAATAGCTGATTTTATGAGTAAGGTGATGATGCTTCCTTATTTTCTTGTTACATAACAATTGTAGCTGCATTAACTCATGTGTTTCCTATTTCTCAAATTCGAGCTGACTAACCTCCTTTGACTTGTGTCGTCTTAAGTCTGGTTTTTTTTTTCCTTTTTTACCAGGAGTCTCTTTGTTTAGAAAAAAAAATAAAAAAACTTATATCAATTACTAAATCTTATATTTATTGAGTACTTTTCTATCTTAAAATAATTGTATTTATCTATAATACACATAAAAAAAATAATGAAATTTATGTGATTAAATAATTTATTAAATGAATAGATAATAATAAAGTTAAAGTAAAAAAA